GCGTTGGATCACCCCATTTCGCCAAAAAAATACAAAAAAGGCATGTACCTCAAATGCTAACAAAGCGCTTTTTTACAAGCACAATCAATGAGAGAACAATAGCGCAAAAAGTGCTGGAAATGTAAATATACTGCTGCAGCTACAGATGATGATGATGGCTCACCAAATCAAAGTGAGAACAACAGAGTGATCAAAAGATACAGATGGATTGACTCCTTACTAAGGCGAAATAAGATGAGCCAGGCGTGGTTTAGTTAAAATTTGGAATTAAATGAACAAAAATGGCAATTGAGCAAGCATAAATTGGGTTCAAGAAAATCACACATTCCGCAACATCCACATCTATACATGCCTTTAAGGAGTTCATAGTAAAGAAGCTACCAGTTGCAAAAAAAACGAGTTAAAATACAAACATGCGCGCGCCAGTAGCATACGTCTGCCATGTCAGAGGTCACTAGGCTCGATTCTAATCGAAGGGAGGTGGCTAGACGCATTGATTAGGGCTGGCCAATATGGAGTTTCTCGCTAGGGTGTCTCTATTGTTCCAAGTTTCCAGAAAATATGAGTGTTGAATGGGATTGAAAATTATAATTATTATAAAAATATTCGCAAAAACACATGAAGGGAAGAGGATGAGTCATATGCGCGATTGGTGATGCCTACAAACANAAATCGTTTAACTCGCCAGCGGTATCCAAAATGTGGAGATTGACTTCTTCGCCATTAACAGTTATTCGTTTACGATAAGAATCAACGCGAGTTGGTTCATAATCTTGCACAAACTCATCATACATGAAAAAGAGAGTGAGAGCGCTTTTTCCGACACCACCAATACCAACTACAACGAGCCTGACAATATTTGTTTGGTTCTGATGTTCCATTTAGGAATTAAAATAATTTATCTAAAAATTAGAGTAACGAGTAAATGAAAAGGTGTGCACAGAAAAATGGAAATAAAAGTGAAAAAATGAATCCGAAACTTATAAGAGACAACAATAAATTAGGACTTAGTTAAGGCAAATAGAAAATAAAATAATTTCTAAGTTAATGGGCCATAACAAATGGATAGACCTAAGGCACCAGGTTATTATAGAAATTAGCTCAAAACCCAAGCTACTTAGAGAACATAAAGAAATATGATTATAAATCATTCTCAAAAGGAGATTACATCAAGAATAAGAAGAAAACTAACCAACGGAT